AAATAGCTTCATAGTAAACAGCAGACCCTGACTGCCTACCATAGACACTTCCGTGCTCGCTGTATGGGGATATATGGAGCTTACATACATCCCCACATGTGATCTTTCCTTTTTTGTGTTTTTGGTGTGCGTTGTTTCCCTGAAAATAATTTGAGATAGATAGCATATAATAACACACAGATATATTTTTAAAGGTTATAAATAAAACCGTAATAGTGCTGGTAAACTGGTGACAAAGGGAGACCAAAAGTTAGTTCTGTACCTTGCATGACAATATTGGGAAGCCCAGGTATCATAAACTCTTCATGAATTAATACAATTCAGTGTGTTTGACTATGAGTGAAGACATTTTTCTAACACTTAAGTTTCCAGAGATTTGTTCAATATTTAAAAGTATTGTCTTTTTTCTCATCCCTTTTTGTGCTGTCTTGTTCTTCATGCTTTTAATCAATTTGTACTTCTTCCTCATTTCTACTTAATTGCATAATTTTTACTTAAACCTGTTTTCTTATAATGATACCTACTTCACAGAGCTGTTAAAAAGCTCTTTGAATAATGCCCAGCACATAGTAAACACTTGTGTTAACTATTATTTAACACGTTTATCATTTTTTTTCACATTTATTATTATTATTATTTTTTAATATATTTTATTGATTTTTTTACAGAGAGGAAGGGAGAGAGATAGAGTTAGAAACATCGATGAGAGAGACATCGATCAGCTGCCTCCTGCACATCTCCCACTGGGGATGTGCCCGCAACCCAGGTACATGCCCTTGACCGGAATCGAACCTGGGACCTCTCAGTCCACAGACCGACGCTCTATCCACTGAGCCAAACCGGTTTCGGCCACATTTATTATTTTTATTTATATACTTAACTATGTGTATCTTCACTGGAAGGTAGTGTTGTCTAGCTATGACACCAGACTTTCTGAGTTCTCGCCCTATTGCCACCTCTTTAAAAATAACTTTGAAGTTAAATTTCCTCATCTGTAAAATGGGAAAAATAAAATTCCGCCTTATTCTTTATAGGGTTGTAACAATTGAGATGATCCATGTGTAAAATTATCATCACAGTACCTAGTACATGGTTTAATGATATTAGCTGGGATTAGTTGTTCACTTTTCTTTTTGTGTAAGAACTGTAGCTTAGGTGAGGATCAGATCATGTTTGAGAGGTAAGAAGGGGAAAATAAGAGTTTGCTGTTCAATGCCTTAGTCAGTTTGGCTCAGTGGATAGAGGGCCGGCCTGCAGACCTAAGGGTTCCAGGTTTGACTCTGGTCAAGGGTGTGTACCTAGGTTGCAGACTCAAGCCCTGGCCCTGGTCTGGGCTTACAGAAGGCAACCAATCGATATGTCTCTCTCATATCAATGTTTCTCTCTCTCTATTCCCCTCTTCCTCCTCCCCCCTCCCTTCTACTCTAAAAATCAATGGAAAAATATCCTCGGGTGAGGATTAACAAAGAAAGAGTTTGCTGTCCCTTCTCAACAGTTTAGAACGTCAGGTACAATGGAATAAACAAAACTTTCTGTCATAAAGCCTGGGTTTGTACCAGGTTCTTTCTGTTGACTGGTTTAGTCCTGAGGAAATCACTTAACCTTTCTGAGCCTCTGTTTCCTCATCTTCTAGATGGGGGTATAGATCTGCCCTGTTCACCTTCCAGAATTGTTTAATTAGACCAGTGATGGTGAACCTGACACGCGTGTCAGAGGTGACACGCGAACTCATTTTTTTGGTTGATTTTTCTTTTCTTTTCTTTTTTTTTATGATTATATTAATCTTTTTTTTTTTTTTAAATATATTTTATTGATTTTTCACAGAGAGGAAGGGAGAGAGATAGAGTTAGAAACATCGATGAGAGAGAAACATCGATCAGCTGCCTCTTGCACATCCCCCACCGGGGATGTGCCCGCAACCCAGGTACATGCCCTTGACCGGAATCGAACCCAGGACCTCTCAGTCCGCAGGCCGACGCTCTATCCACCGAGCCAAACCGGTTTTGGCTGATTTTTCTTTGTTAAATGGCATTTAAATATATAAAATCAATATCAAAAATGTCTTTGTTTTACTGTGGTTGCAAATATCAAAAAATTTCTGTATGTGACACGGCACCAGAGTTAAGTTAGGGTTTTTCAAAATGCTGACACGCCGAGCTCAAAAGGTTCGCCATCACTGAATTAGACGCATCTTTGTGAAAGCTCTTTGTAAAAGGAGATGTAAGTGTAAGGTATGTTTAGATTGTAGGGACTGATAGGGCTATGACATGAAACACCAGTGAGAATCCCTTGTACTTGATGTACTCTCAGTTCTTTATGCTTCTTATTCACACCGTAGAGAACTTACTAGCCCCTGGCATCTCACCTTATATTTGATCTTGTACTTCTAGAACACACAAGTGACCGAAGCCTGGAACAAAGTGGCCCATTCATTTAATTGCACGCCAATAGAAGGTGAGACTTCAGATAACACGGTTGAGGGTAAAGTGTCAGTGATTTAGAATAATTAAGGCTGTTTTCTTTCCTTGAGAATCCATCCTGGCTCTAGCACAGTCTAAGCCAAAAACCTCAGTGCCCTTAGTTTATAGCCAGGTGCTTTTCTCTCATTGCCCGCCTCATCAAACTATTTACGTGGGTGGATTTGGAAACCTTTTGGGATTCTGGACGGTTGGTACCATAAGCTTTGTCCTCTCCACAGGTATGCTGTCACACCAATTGAAGCAGCATGTCATCGATGGAGAGAAAACCATTATCCAGAATCCCACAGACCAGCAGAAGTAGGTGCCAATCCCACCCTTTACCTTCCACCATACAAGACTAGTCATGAATGTTTTCTTCTGTACTTCCAGCTTAACTCCAAACTCCAGGAACTACTTATGGCTGTTCCCTTTTTATTCCTTTCAGGAAGGACCACGAGAAAGCTGAATTTGAGGTACACGAAGTATATGCTGTGGATGTTCTCGTCAGCTCAGGAGAGGGCAAGGTGAGGAGTGTTTCCAGAGCTAGCAAAGAGGGGTAACTGAAGTTTTGTTCCAGGAGCACCTGAACAAATGTGACCTAACTTACTCTTTTAGGCCAAGGACGCAGGGCAGAGAACCACCATTTATAAACGAGATCCTTCTAAACAATATGGCCTGAAAATGAAAACTTCACGTGCCTTCTTCAGTGAGGTTGAGAGGCGTTTTGATGCCATGCCCTTTACTTTAAGGTATACTGCACTTCACAAGGCCAGGGCTTGGAACTAGTGTGACTCATAGACCACACACCCAGGAATACTATTCCCTCCTCCACTCCTCCCTGCCTCCCCCTCCCCTCCTGCCTGGACTTGTAGCTCCAGCCTGCATGCAAGGGTTCTCTTATGCTCCCTATCTCCCTCATTGAAGGGAATATAAAAGAGCAATCCTAAGCACGATTTCTGCCTGAGGGTAGGATCTATTTAAAAGCATGAGCAAAAATGATGAGACTTGAGACGGAGTTAAGGATACCTGAGTTTGTCTTCCCCTACCCAGAGCATTTGAAGATGAGAAGAAGGCCCGGATGGGTGTGGTGGAATGCGCCAAACATGAACTGCTGCAGCCATTTAATGTTCTCTATGAGAAGGAGGGTAAGTTCTAAAAGGAGAGTTTCACTTTGGAACTGGTTATATGGTTCCCTTCTTTTTCCCTATAGCTTATAGAAAAAAGGATACAACAAACGAACATTTTATCAAAACACTTCTCTCTCCCATAGGCGAATTTGTTGCCCAGTTTAAATTTACAGTTCTGCTGATGCCCAATGGCCCCATGCGGATAACCAGTGGTCCCTTTGAGCCTGACCTTTACAAGTCTGACAAGGAGGTCCAGGATGCAGAGCTAAAGGTTAGTGTGGGCTGGAAAGTGGTTGAGCACATGGAACCTGTCCTGAAAGTGAGGACTAAATATAAGCAAAGTCCTGAAAAACAGGTACAGTGTTGAAAGTAAGACTGTTTTCTCCAAAGTCCTCAAAATTTGTTTTCCTTCTTCCTTTTTTCCCAGGCCCTCCTCCAGAGTTCTGCAAGTCGGAAAACCCAGAAAAAGAAAAAAAAGAAGGTGTGTTGTTATCCCTTTTTGGCAGGTTGAACCTCATCGCTTTTTATTCCACCTTCCTGGGTTGTGGTGGGGCATAGATTTTTGTATATCCTTATTTCCCCCCTTCTCAGGCCTGACCTAGAGAATCAGGACATTTTTGTCCTTGGTCCCCCAAACACTACCCCAAGGAAATTTACATGTTTCCATCTTCTTTCCATGAATATAGGCCTCCAAGACTGCAGAGAATGCCACCAGTGGGGAAACATTAGAGGAGAATGAAGCTGGGGACTGAGGTGGGTCCCATCTCCCCAGCCAGCCGCTCCTGCCTCATCCCCTTCCCACCACACCCCAGGCTCTGTGAAGTGCAGTTCGTCTTCTCCACCCAGGACCGCCAGCAGATCAGGGGTCTCCCTGCCCCCATCCCAGTCCCCCAACCCAACCCCTTCCAACAAGAACCAGCTCCAACTGACTCTGGTCTTGGGAGGCCAGGCTTCCCAGCCACCGAAGACTACTTTAACTAGAAAAGAGAAATTGAACAATAAAATCAGGAATCAAAATCCATCGTCTTCAAGCCCCTCTTTCTAGCCTTTTTCTACTACTGTCTGCTTGGTAAAGGTTTATGGCCCTACAACAAAACAGGGAGGAGGCTAAAGGAGCTACCACCATTAAAGATTGAGCTGAAATTTTTATACACTCTGATTCAGCATTTTCTCTTCTGTTGGGGCTTGTTCCTCTCCTTTCCCACTCTCCATAAGTATTTTATCTGGCCTCAAAGTAGAGAGGAGCTGTTCTTCAGATTATTTTATTCACATGTGGTAGGTTCCTTTTCTGATCCAGGCTATCTGGTCAGGCCCCTCCTTTTTTTTAGGAGCTGGAGCCTGCACTTACCAAGGGATTCTCATCTATGAAACGGATCCTCATTTGTAAATCTTTATAGTCATTTTTGTTCTGTAGGACACCCCCCCCCCAAAAAAAAAAAAAAAAAAAAAACTATAAAGGAGGAATTAATTTTAACGGGTCCATTACTTTGGAGTCAGTGGGCTCTTTCCTTGCTCCATCTTACAAATCTGAGCTGAAAGCTCAACTGCGGTTTTGTTCCCCATTTGAAACATTCTGACCTCCCTCCCTTGAAAGAAAGACCAGGAACCAGAGGAGCAGACTGACTGAAGAGACAACTCCTGGCTTTCTACGCTGTGTGGACTTGAATTGGATGAATTGCTAGGGGTTTGGAGAGAAAGGTGATGAATTTTATTCAGTACCTCTGGCATGCTGTCCCAGGGAACTAGGGCTCCCGCTAACTTAGGAGGTTTTTAAATTGAAAACGACATGGCGTTGAAATAAATGTGGATTTGCTCATAATCATGTGCCTTTGCTGCTCTTATTTGGTGGAGGGGGGAGTGTTAGTTGAAGTGGTGACCATTTGGAGCTGTTTCTCTGTGTTGCTACATACTAACTTTCTAAAACAATACTTCCTCAACCCAAAGACATAAATCCTGAATTCTCTGAATTAAGATAGTAAACTTTCTATGGGAGCTTGATTTAATTTTAATCTTAAAGTAAAACCATCAACCTTGCTGCTGACACTTTGTTCAGGACTAGCACATTTTAATGTGTACTGAAAAAAATAAAACACTCTCCAGGTGTTTGTCTTGATTTAGGAAGCCAGGAAAAATGCCTTCAGTGTTACAAAAGTTGTCAGGGCCAGTCTAAAATGAGTAAGTAGATTTGAGTATCTTACATGTCAGGAATGCTGACCTGGAGATACTACAGTGAACAAAACATGGAGCTCTTCATAAGAGTTTATAGGCTAGGCAATCAACAGGTGAAATCCTGGTGGATTTGCTATTTGATAATGAAGTAATTCTGATGGAATTTTTGTTTGCAAAAACTATATTGTGATGATGAAAATACTGGAACTACTTAAACAATTAGAACAAGGGCCCCAAGTCTTAAAAACCTTTTTTTAATAGAGCTAAAAGGGTGACATGTTAATGCATAAGTTACAAAGGGAAACCATCAAAAAAGGGGTTATAATAAACCTTGCAAGCCCCGACCGGCGCAGTGGTTAGAGCATCTGCCCGCACCCCCGAAGAGTGTGGCCCGTTGGATTTCTGGTCCAAAGCGTGTTGCCTGGGTTACAGGTTTGATATCCCACCCTGTCGGGGAAAGCAGGAGGCAATCAATGGATGTCTCTCTCACACTGACGTTTCTCCCTCACCCCTCCCCACCTAATACTCTCAAAAATCAATGGAAAGAATATCCTCAGGTGAGAATTAACAAAAAATAAAAGCCTTGCAGTAGCAAAGTAAATTAGGCCAAGTCTGCTTAAGGACTTTTTTCCATCCTTTGTAACTGTCCACATCTGTTTACCGGGTGCCCTCACCTGTCTACGCCCCGAGACCGGCAGTTCTTTACCTTAAAACCAAGTACCGTCCTTGCCCAGAGAAGAGAGCCACCCTCCCCTCCCGTTGGTGGAATCACTGAAGTGCTTTCTGCACGAGATGCACCGCGGCCAGGAACCTAATGACACCCGGCCGCAGGCACCTGGGGAAGACCGCGGTTGGCTAGGGAAAAGTTCATCTAAAACAGTGGCCGCTTTGGGGCAATAGGACAGCTTTCTTGACAACCCAACTTTACATTCTCCCATGTTCTGGAACCCTGGGACCTTCGGGGGAGGTTCTGAGATAGAGTCTCCCTGCAGCAATTTCGTTTAAAACTCAGGCAAACCAGTAAACAAATGAGGCATTTTTATAAAGTACGCACCTATTTATAATAAAATGGAGGGGGTCGTCAGGACTGCAACTCCCATGAAACAACGAGAGGAGGAGGAAGTCGCTCTCCTTTGCTCGCCAGCACCTCTAGGTCTCATTCTGGAAACGGGTGCTCACGCTTAACTAACCATGTCCTCACAACAAAACGGGGCGCGGGATTCTGCAACTCAAATTCTACATACTCCGTTTTCCAAGAGGACAAAAGCGCTTATGAGGTACCTGAAAGGGGCCGGAAGCCATTGTTACTCCCCCGGAGGGCGGGCTAAGCAGCGGAAGTGACGACACGAGTGCGCCCTTAAATAGCGGTAGGCGGGCGCGCAGCGCTCTCTCGGCCTTAGCGCCATCTTCTCAGGTGGGTGTTTGTGTGGCCCGTGTGTGGATTCCGCGAACAATCCGTTTACATCTGGTCTCTGCGCTTGCCATCATCACAGCAAACTAACTGTAACCTTTCTCTCTTTGCCCGTAGAAGCCTCTGCGCCATGAGAGCCAAGGTAAGCACTCCCGGGTAGTAAGCGGAGGCAGGGACTGGGAGATGGGGGTGGAGACCAGGCGAGGAAAGTCCGCCATGGCTCCCGGGCCGCGGGCTCTCCAGGGTGTCCGAGCGGGGGGGAGGACGGATGGTGTGGGGAGAAGCAGAGGAGGTGGCTGGGTAACTGCGGTGAGGAAGGAGCGCGTGTGGAATTCGGAGTTTACTTCGGGTGCGGGGGTTAGGAGGCCAAGTGATTGATGTGTTTACTGCGACTAAGCCCTCATATTTGGTCGAGGACATGCCTGATTCCAAAAAATGCTCTCCACATCCCCATCTAAACCTCTCAAAAACTAAACTAATGACCTTTTTTTATTATTATTCCTTGTCTCTGGTTATAATCGGTGGCCAGTGGAGGAAGAAGCGAATGCGCAGGTATGTTGAGACTTTGCCGGCCCCGGAGGAGGGAATGGGGTGGTGCATGCCTTGCTTAAAACTTGGGAGGGACGTTTGCTTTAGAAATCTAAAAGAATCGTCGGTGAAAAACGTTGTGAGCGCTGACTGGTCAGAGCCAGGGATTGAACACAAAAGACGAGAGAACGTAGTGCTTGATCGTCTCCCCGCCCTGTGTTGTGTGCACATAAGATTGGCCGGGGGGTTTGTTGTGGGCTTGAGGGCAAGGAGTGTATTCTTGTGTTTGCTTTTCAGGCTGAAGCGCAAAAGAAGAAAGATGAGGCAGAGGTCCAAGTAAGCCGCAAGCTGTGCACCCGTGAGAGCCACAGGAGCAGGAATGAGGGAGCCAGAGGCCGGGCGAGCCGGCGGACTGCGTGCCTGCTGTCTGGCGCGTCTCCGCGGGAGCTGGAACATAACATGCGCGTCACCTGAGCGCCGCGGCCCCTTTTGAGAGGCCCACTCTGCTCTTACAAAAACAGCCTCTTTTGGATCTTTGCCCTGGACCCGTGACATTCTGGACTGGTTCTGTTCTCTGTGGCTGAATGTAACGTGTACAATAAATCACCTCTTCTGTCTTAGCTGAAGAAAAAGATAATGTCTGCTTTGTGGTTTTTTTGGTTCCATTGGCTGGGGATTCTGTCCGTACGGCGGGCCCTGTTAACTACCTGATGCAGTAGGATATCGAGCTACGTGCTGCCCCCGGGGTGTGGCCCCTGCCCCTACCCGACATCTGGCCCGGGGCCCTGGAGTAGTGGGAACCTGGGGACAGGTATCGCGATAGTTCTTGGGCAAATGGTTCCGCCCCTACTCATCTCTAGGCCTACGTCAAGTTGCGGTTGCGGTTTTTTAAGACGGTTTTTGCGGCATGGTGTCCCGTTACCATGGTGACACGCAAAGCTTGCTGGGAACTTCCTGCGGCTAATCGCGCAAGTACTGTACACACCATAGAGTATAGTTCCGGGTCTGGTGGCTAGAGCGCCATTTCTTCCGCAGGAAGCGGAAGGGCCGCTGGGTGGGCGGCTCTTTGTCGAAGCTAGAGGACCGGCAGGCGGCAGCAGCAGCAACTACGGCGGCGGCGGCAGGTGAGGGAGGCGGGAGACAGGTGGAGGCCGCGCCTGGAGGGGAGGAGTCGTCGCCGGCCCAGCGGCCAGGCTCGGCCGGCTACGCCAGGCCCCCCAGGCCCGAGCTGGCTCTTCTCAGGCCCCAGGGCCGAGCCCTTTTTCTAACTGACCTCGCTGGGGGAGCAGACGCTAGCTCCATGACGTCACAGCCCTGCCCATCCCCTCAGCTTGATGTCACCCGCAGTCCCTCTCCCGCCTCACCTCGTGTTCACTTAATGTCCTGTTCACCTCCCACGGCCGAGCGCGGGCGGCACTGCATGGAACCTGCCAAGCCAGAAGATTTGCTGCGGGAAACGGGACTTTTCCAAACTCGGGTGTTGCGAGGCGTCATAATCACTGCCCCCAAGCCCAGTCGGCCACCCACTGCACTGTCAGTCGCGGCCCTTGCGCGGCCCCGCAGGCGGAGTTCCTAACCCCAACCCTGAGCCGGACTCTGACCCCCATGTCCTCCATTTGAGGCAGGGCTCCCCGCGCCCTTTGTGCACCCAGGGCTGGTTGCCCAACCCATCCTTCTAGGCTCTCCAGCTTAGTTCTGTCTCTTGCTTTTCTTACTTGCAACGTCTCCCTTTGGTGAAGTGAGTTGAAACCCTGAGGAAATCTTGATGTGCTCAGAGCTCTTGCCGTTTTGTCAGACTGACTTCTTGTAACTGTCACCCCGTAGTCCTCGGTTCCTACCCTTTCTCCCACCCAAGTATCTGTTTTGTTCCTGTTCAGAACCCAGCAGTGATGTGGAGGTGGAGACCCACAGGAGCCCCGGACTTCACCTGAGCTGCCTCAGGTATCGAATACTCCTGGGACGGTGGGTGGGAGGAAACCCTGGTGGGACTCGCCCGCGGGTCAGGCTCGGAAAGATGGCATTTATTTTTCACCAGGTCATTTCCCTTTTAGTAAAACTTGGCATTTTCTCTCTTACCACTTGATTGTTTCTATTATCCTGAGACTTACCTCCCTTTGGAGGAAAAGGACCCTTCTTTTACAGATTCTCTTGTAACTTTGGCCCCTGGTCGGTTCATTTTAGGGAGATCTGAAGGTAAAGTCAAGGCAACCAAGTGGTGGTTGTGGCAGATCAAAGCCAGAGAAATTGGAAAGATTCCCTTATACTCCAGGGGAAACAATATGAAGTTTTCCTATTTGAACAGCAGGGGGAGCCTGGACACCGCCTAGGAAAGGTTTACCAGGTCAGACACATGGTAGCCAGGACTCCCAGTCTTGTGGGGGGTGGGGTGAGGGGCGGGCTAGAACCAGGGCAGTGGACTGACATTCCAGAGCTCTCTTGGGAAAGATGAGACTTAAGAAGCTTTTATAACGTCTATAAATAAAGAGGATCTTTATGGGGTGAGGAATGGTGTGGTTTGATGTCAGTGGTATCTTCCCATGGAGGGTTAGGAGGGGATAGAATGGGAAAGTAAGGTCACTTGTTCCTGTGAAATTAACTCCTTCTTCCTGCTTTTGTTCTTTGGTAGTCTATAGGTTTTGTCCTTTGGTCGTCTATAAGTGGAGATCCTAGCCAGAGAACTCTTCCCCTGAAATGGGAGAGGAGGGAGCTGACCACACTGGGGTCGATAGTGGTATTGAGCTGGGAGGGAATACTAAAAAATGACAGGTTTAGGGACTACGTTCAGGGTGGTGGCACAAGTCTCTTCACTCAAGCTTCCCTGGGGTCTGGAGATATGATACTTCACAGAGCCCTCATCTGAAATTCCATGGAAGAGGGGTTAAGGGAAGTTTTGTCACCAGCATTCCATTATCCACAGCCCTAGTGGCCCACCAGCCCATCTTGGCCACGATTCCCAGTACCTTCCTAGCCTATTCAGACACTGACAGTTTTAATTTCATTTCCACAACTTTAATAAGGTCAATTCAAAAGGGGAAATAAAATCCAGTACTGTTCTATCCCTGCCCCCTCCTTGGCCTGCATTCATTAGTGAGATGAGATGGCTTCACCCCCAGCTCCCTCCCTTCTCCATTAGCCAGGCAAGTGTGAATCATTCTGTCCCAGACCAGGTGCACAAGAGCCTGGGCGGGACTTCTGACAAGCCAGCCAGTCTGGGCAGAATTCTCACCCCCAAGGTTCTCCATCTCCAAAGCCATTGCCCCTCTGGTCTGCCTCTTGTTGGACTGCCTACCCTAAAGTCGGGAAGAGTGTGGCCTCCCCGGAGGACTCTTGTTTGACACAGTTCTTCTCTTTCCTAGTGGTCACCAAGGGTGGCAAGAAAAAGAAGAAAGCCCTGATTTGGGGGGGACCAGGATGCCTGACCGGGACAGCTATGCCAACGGCACTGGGAGCAGCGGTGGAGGCCCTGGAAGTGGTGGCAGCGAGGAGGCCAGTGGGACAGGGCCAGGCAGTGGAGGGGCCAGCTCAGATGCCATCTGTAGAGACTTCCTGAGGAATGTGTGCAAGCGAGGCAAGCGTTGCCGGTATCGCCATCCAGACATGAGTGAGGTGTCCAACCTGGGGGTGAGCAAAAATGAGTTCATCTTCTGCCATGACTTCCAGAACAAGGAATGTAGTCGCCCAAACTGCCGATTCATTCATGGCTCCAAGGAGGATGAGGATGGCTATAAGAAGACAGGAGAGCTTCCCCCTCGGCTGAGGCAGAAAGTCGCAGCAGGCCTGGGCCTTTCTCCAGCTGACCTACCGAATGGCAAGGAGGAGGTCCCTATTTGCCGGGATTTTCTCAAAGGTGACTGCCAGAGAGGAGCCAAGTGCAAGTTCCGTCATCTACAACGGGATTTTGAATTTGATACTAGGGGTGGAGGAGGCACTGGTGGTGGGGGCTCAACAGGCCCAGTCCCCCCAGGACGACGTCATGATCTCTATGATATCTATGACCTCCCTGACAGGGGCTTTGAGGACCATGAGCCAGGTCCCAAGCGCCGGCGAGGTGGATGCTGTCCCCCAGATGGCCCCCATTTTGAATCTTATGACTATAATCTGGCTCCACCCCGAGGGGTAGAGTGCAGGCTGCTAGAAGAGGAGAATGCCATGCTCAGGAAGCGGGTAGAGGAGCTAAAGAAGCAGGTCAGCAATCTTCTGGCTACCAATGAGGTACTCCTGGAACAAAATGCCCAGTTCCGCAATCAAGCCAAGGTCATGACCCTGAGCTCCACTGCACCAGCAACTGAGCAGACTCTGGCTCCCACTGTGGGTACTGTTGCCACTTTTAACCATGGCATTGCCCAGACTCATACTACTCTCAGCAGCCAGGCT